CATGCAGGAGGTGTGTTTTATGCTGCCACCACTGCTGAGTTTGCTGTTGGATTGTGCCAAAAAGCCAGATCAGTCGGTTGTTTCAATTTCTCTTGGTGCACTTGTGCATCTCATAGAAGTTGGAGGACACCAATTTAGTGAAAGTGACTGGGATACATTGTTAAAAAGCATAAGGTGCCTATCTTGATAATTTGGTAAAGTTTAGTTTCTATTTTCTGTCTAACTACATTTATTTTGATTTACAGAGATGCATCATACACTACTCAACCACTTGAGCTGCTCAATGCTTTGGGATTTGAGAATACAAAAAACCTTACAGTGGTCATTGGAGATTCTGAGGTCAATGCAGGTGAAGTGGATAGCCAGCCACTTGCTTCCCCAAGTATTGGTGGTGATGGCATTGCAAGGACTCCTAATGCATCAGTCTCACTGGATCATAATCAAGCATTGGGGCTACATTTGGATGGATCAGAAGGTTTGCATTCCAATTACTTTTCAGAAGTATATGTTCATTAGAGAACTTTTAGACTACTGAAACAGTATAGTTATGCAAGTTGCTTTTTATCTTATTCATTTGATAGGAAGGTTGCTTTTATAGAAACTAAGTTCATTGAAAAATGTGATTAACGGTAGATGCAGTTCAATCACGCAGTAGCCCACAAAGTCAGCTCCTTCCCTACACTTTGGATGAATAGGCTAACTTCTTTACACTGGAGTAGAAACAGCCCAAAGCAGACATTAAAGTGCTGTGTTCAGGGGCCAACTTTAAGTGTGAAAATTTTTGTTCTTGTAGGTGTTCCATCACCATCAGGAAGAGCTCAGAAATCTTTTGAAGCGGAGTTCCTTCAACAGAATCAGAGCTTAGGCCAAAAGATCATGGGAAATATGATGGATAACCGTTTTCTTAGGAGTTTTACCTCTAGAAAGACTCCTGTACCAGATGCTTCAGTACCATCTTCTCCACATAAGGTACTATACTAGGAGATTCTTAAAGTTACAGATTATGAATTTGAGGTTTATCATAAAGATAGGCATTGTGTTTCTTTTGTCTTTTCCGCTTCTTTTCTTTCAGCGTTGTTGTTGCTTTCAATACACTTGTGTTGATAACTATGTTTAAACCTTGAACTGTTAATTTGTGTTATTAAGCTCCTTTGTGAAATTTAGGTTTTGCCTGGTGTTATTGGCATGAAATATCCTTTGACCATTGGTTGTTTGAACTGCTAATATGCTACTTATGGTTCTGGTGCTTTGTTGGTCTGTGTTATGTCAATGATTTTAAAAGAAATCAGTTTATGTTTTGTGGAACATAGCACAAATACACATTTATGCGCAAATATAGGTTGCATATCCCTTTGTTCTTTGTTTCTTCCAACAAATGCATATTTCATATATATATTATTTCAACGATACACATAACTACGCCTTGAATGTTTTGGGAAATTTGATGTGGATATATAGTATTACATTTGATGGACTTTCCATTGTCTCTTCAGACTTTGGAGCCAGGAAACAAACTCTAAGAACATTGGGGTCCTCGGCCTTGTCTATTTCTCACAATTTTGAGCATACGCAGATATTGACAGCCCGGAATCTTTGAACTGGATGTGGCACAAGGCTTGTTGGGCAATTTTAATTGGCTTGGGGAAAGACATAGGGAAGGGCTGAGGTTTTTCATAGGGTTTATAAATTTTCGGCTAGGTGACAAGAGAATATTTTACTTAAAGCACGATTCGGTTTGCTAAGGAGCCTTTGGAATGTGCTTTCCTAAATATTTTTTTCATGGTAGTAAGGGTTTCTCTGGTTGTGAGTTACTTTGGGGGATTGCTAGTACCCTAGGTTTAATGGACATTGTTGTGATTTTGTCAGATGACAAGGTACTAAGTGTAAAGGACAAGAACATGATGAATTGGAGACTGTATAGGTCTTCCAAGTTTGAACAAGTTTTTCTTATATCATTCTCATTGCTTCTGGGTGATAGGTAGTGTTGTTGAAAATAGATTTGGCATTACTGTAATATCCCAAGTACAGTACTTAGCTGAACTTTTGAGTTACTTGAGGTATGAATAAGTGATAGGATTTCTAAGTTTTTCTTAGTTGATTGGTTCTTGCAGTTTTTGTGCTATTGAGATGCGAGTTGTTTTGGTAGTTTACTGTATGGTTTAAAAGAAAAGAGAGTATATTTTCTATCCTTATAGAATAAATTTTTAGTACCTTACTTTTTACATATTCATTTGCCTTTAGATTTTTTGCATTTAAATATATTTTGAATCAAGATATCTTCTTGTCTCAAGCTTTTTTACATATCTATTTTAGTTTATGAGAGTATTTAAGTCTCTGAAATGCTTTATTTACAAGCTATTGCAGTAATATAACAGTTTCCAACATTTTCAAGCACTCTAGCAATTCAGAATTTTGCACTATTTTTGCTGCACTTCATATTCGTCCAGAATTTCCTAAATTTATGGTTTTGTTTTGTAATATATCTAACATCAAATGCTTTTTATTGTTCTTGTTTTCTTGATGCCAACTGTGGCTTCCTAGTGCTGTTATCCTAAAATTTTGCAGTGCCTCCTTTGGATTCAAGTTTTTGATGCTTGTGCCTTAATTTGTAATGTATCCAATGTTAAATGCTTTTTGTTTTTCCTGTTTTCTTGGTTTGATGCCAACTACAGCTTCCTGATGCTGTGGAGCCTGATACCAAAGATGAGGAAGAAAGTCCACTGTGGGGAACAATTAGGGGCAAATGCATCACTCAGTTATTGCTTCTTGGTGCCATAGATAGTATTCAGGTATGGTTATGATTCTTTTACATGTTTATATCACCGTATACCGCTGAGTCTGTTAGTGCTATTTAGTTTGAAACAGATTTATATTATTTTTGTATGGACCTTGATAAATTTTCATATAATTTGATGGGTGTAGAAGTAGAGATTTTCTTCACAAAATGCTTCCATTGTCTTTTTTGAAGCTGACCTCATCTGTTAGGTTTTAAGAAAATTTGACTTGACAGTGGAAAGCATACACTTCCCATCTGTTAGGTTTGGGCACTGGTTTATGTTCTATTGATTGTGATCTCTTTTAGGATTTTTTTTGATTTAATACTTTTGTATAGTGAATGACCTCTCTCAGGTCTATATGGAAGGCTACACTACCTTCTATGGTTAGCTTGTACATCTTTTTTGTATCTTCTGTTAGTGTTATTACAATTCTTTAGTTTTTATATAATATGGGAGAATTTAGCTGTTTTAGTCACTGAATGTCTTGAAAATTTGCAGAGAAAGTACTGGAACAAGTTGAAAACACCGCAAAAGATTGCAATAATGGATATTTTGTTTTCCTTGCTTGAATTTGCTGCTTCATATAATTCATATTCCAACCTCAGGGTGCGGATGCACCAAATTCCTGCTGAAAGGTCAAAATCCCACTGAAATTTGCTTCGTTCTTACTTTTCGTCTCATTGTTGTTTAAACTTGAAGCGGAAGCACTGTATCACATAGTAATTTTTCTTTGAACAGGCCTCCATTGAATCTTCTTCGTCAGGAATTAGCAGGGACTTCCGTATATTTGGATATCTTACAGAAAACAACTTCAGGTTTTGATGCCAGTGGGGAGCAACAACCCAAATCTAATGGTTCTCAAGATGTAGATACTGCTTCAGATAACAATGAGTCAAGCTTTACTGAACAGTCTAATGTGAAAGGGAAGCTAGAAGGGGTAGCAGAGGAGAAACTGGTGTCTTTCTGTGAGCAGATACTCAGGGAAGCATCTGATCTTCAGTCCAATGTAGGGGAAACTACAAACATGTCTATTCACCGTGTTCTGGAGTTACGCTCCCCAATCATTGTTAAGGTATGGATGCGATATGTAGGGTGTGTTTGATTCTTTAGTAGGTGTATGTAATGCCATGCATTTCATTTCTTGGCTTGAAGACCTTGAAGAACTTCTAATTCTTTGGATTGGTACATTGTCATATTTTGAGATCTTATCTTTAATTTCATATTCCCATGCGTCTATTCTTTTCACCTTCTTGTCATTGTCTGAACAGACATTACATTTGACTTGATTATCTTATTCGTTCCATCCACTTGTTTTATTTGCAATGGTTATGTAGATTTCTGTACTTTTTTGCCTTTTCAGGTGCTTAAAGGCATGTGCTATATGAACAATCAGATTTTCAGAAGTCATCTGCGTGATTTCTATCCTTTGCTTACAAAACTTGTCTGCTGCGAGCAGGTTAATCTTTTCTGCCAGACTATTTAGATTTACCGCAGCATGCACAAAGTCTTGACATTTCATTAATAAAAATTTTAATGGTCCACTTGAAAGGAACTTCATTTCTTTTCCTTTTATAATGCGTAAGTTAGTAACCCGGTTGAAAAAACTGATTTTATCTTGATTTGTTCAGATGGATATTCGTGGAGCGCTTGGTGATCTTTTCAGGATGCAGTTGAAAGCTCTCTTACCTTAGTGTATAATTGCCACTTTGCCAAGTTCCTCGGAAGGAATGATTTTCAGCGTTGCTGCACATTCCATTTCCATAGCTGATCGGCACATTGTTTTGCTAATTTGTTACTACACATCCCATTTGGTAGAAAGAGTAGCTATGTAATTTCTTTACATTATCCTTGTCCTTCAAGGACACTATTCAAAAGCAGTTATCATGTTTTGGGGAGGACTGGGGAAACAACTTTCGATGTTGGCCTGTTGTTTCTTGTAATCTCCATTTTTTGGTTAGTGGTACAAGTTATAAAGAAAGCTGTATCAGAAATGATCCGAATTTGAATTGTCGGAGGTTGCTCAGAATAATTGTTTTAATACTAAACTTTATATAGGCACAGAAAGCTCTATAATTTCTTCCAGGTTTTTAATGGACTGTCCGATGACTGGTAGAGGTAGACATTAGACAATGTTAATAGTGTTTTATTTTCTGACAAAAGAAGATTGATGATAACTTAGATTTTTAGCAATTATTGTTTTGATTCCCAAATAGAATCTCACTCATCTATTCAATAACGGATTCAAACCCGCAAATCAGAAAGTTTAATTAATACAAATTAGTAAATTACTGCTGTAAAATGCCCCTCAGAAGAAGTCAGAACATGAAAGCAAATATATTCAATAATCAACAATGAACAATATTATACAGGCAAAAAGGTAAACATACTCTGCTATGGCATCGTTGGATTGCTGCCTTCATGACGGATATCAGAATGCCTCAATCTACTGGTCAATATGTAACTTTTTGGAAGGGTTGGATGCTCCGCCAATGGTGATTTGAACCATCTATTTGATCAATTTTACATTTCTGAGGCGAAGCTGTTGCAGTCTCCGTCTTCCATTAGAAAAAGATAGCGAAATCTTGAATCAAAAGGTAGGACTGAGAAGCTTCGAGCACCAGGAAGCCTCCACTTCTGATGGCATGAACACTTTCTAACCATGGCAGCATGCTCTTCAGAGAGGAATTGACAGATCCAATCAGGTAGTGATGAGTCCTCTACCAAGCCTTTGGCAAAACAATGCAACAATTTTGGCACCAACAGTTTCCCTTTATTGCTAATACCAACAGACGCTTGCACGTAATCTCTCAACGACTCTTTCAGCAACTCGGTAACATTTTCGGGCTGATAGATTCTCACCTGATTTAAAAAGAGAAAGGAACAGCAAAGAAGATTCTTTGAGAATAGTTAAACAACCACATGGTATGATATCAGTAACAAATTTCAAGATTCTTGTAGGTGCATTACTTGGCAGCAAGAAAAAGTTTCCAAACATTTTTTGTCCATTATTCTCAATTCTACTACCACATAATTTTCCCCAAGTGCTAAATCCTAGTTATCAAGCTAGCTATTGCAGAACATATCGTTATATTCAAAATGAAATTATTCAAGCAGGCATTATCAACTGGTTGATTAAATCCTATGGAAGATTCAGAGAACAAAGAATATGATTTTTTTTGTTTTTTTGTTTTAAGGTAGCAGTTTCATTAGTACAGGAGGAATAAAGAAAATAATGAACTCTTACGGCAGGTGAAGAATGCATCCCAGAGCTCAGAGCAAAAGGTAGGAGTGGCTCGTGATGATCTATTGAATATTTTTTCAACTCCTCAGATGCCTTGAATTTCTGAAGAGCAAGAACCAGGGCCTGACACAAAATAATAAGAGCATATTATCTGTTAAATGACATTGCCAAGAAAGATTCAAAATGTTCTACATGAATGACAAGAAACTCCACATGTAACAAGAGCACAAGAGTTAGTGTAAATCACTTATTTCCTCTCCCTGAGACAATTCTTAAGACCTCCTATTTGAAGAAAAATAGGAAGAAATATAACGCTAAAATTCGTAGTTCACTAAAATGCTTGAGAATAAAGCTTCCCCCAATCATTGATCAAGAGCATCCACTGCTCGGCCAATTCGATTGCCTGCCGACCTGATAGGTGAAAAGCCCACAATTTGGCAGCAGGTCTTCTTATAGACCATACCCTATTATTGACTATCAATCATCGTATAAAAAATAGGATTACTGAGTCACCATCCCTCATCTAGAACTGCGAGGCTGAAGAATCTTTTTACAAGAAGTAGGTGGGAGGGGAAATTCATGAATATGATTAAGGACACATACTATTTGTGGGCGATGAGCTGGAGGTTTCATCTTCAGAATGATAAATTCAATGTCAGCTGCAGTGAATGAGTGCCCTCCAACAGTATAAGCGGCCTGCAAGCCATTATGTCATTTTGTTCACATTAGTTCACAAGTAGCAAAGAAAATATACGAGCAGTCTATTTAAGAAAAGCTAAACCATCAGACCTTCTGAATTAATGAAAATAATTTCATTTCACTTGTTGGAACTCCATATGCTAAATATGCCTGAGAAAACAGACACAAGAAAGGCAAGTCAAAACAATACGGATTTTTGAATCAGGAAATATCATAAATAACTTGACCCGGTTAAAAGATAATAGCTATCAACAGGATCGTCATGCTAAGGCACAAAATGGAGGGGAGCCAAGGTCAAGAATAATTAATTCCTGTCAAAAGAATAAAAACAGACTTACATGCATAATCAAAGCATTATATAAGTTGATCCAAAATGCCAGCTTCTCATTGCAAGTCATGCAATATAGATCTACTCTGGCTAAATGCTCAAGGAACAACCTGTATGGAAAACAAACAGGGAAAACAAAAGCAATAGCATGTCAAATTTCTCATCCAAGGCAATACAAAATAACAAAATCCAATCGCTGAGGTCATCAGAAATGCTAATCTATCATTTCTAAAGAAGGTCCTCAATGAAAGTTCAGTCAGAAGGCTGACAGAAAGGGGAATGATTATTTCAAACAGAGATAGCCAACCTAAATCTTTTGAGAGCCGTAGCAGCATATTCAAGTTCTTTCTTCCCAACAGACAACCAAGAGACTTCAACCGCCATACTGTAGTTTCCAATATTTCTTGTCCAGTCCACCTTTCTGGGAACCCCGTAAGGATCAAATGAGCGATCTCTTGCAAAGATATCAGGATCATTTTCCATATCAACTGAGGGACTCCTTGCAATAATGGGTGATTCTGAGAAAGATGTCATTGAAGAATAGGAAAGGTGGCCCTGAGGTGAAGATGGTGAAGCTATACACTCAGAAGAAGTTAGCTTGGACGAATTTGCTAAGAACAGAAATATATCCCTCATACACCGGACCATTTCTTCAGACAGTCGGCAAGGGTAGTGCCAAAGATTATCCTCAGAGTCATTGTAATTTTGCTCTTCAATCGAATTTGGCAGTGCTTGCATTTCTTTCATTTCTCCTTCTACACTTTTCTCACAACGAGGTCTTGTGATCTGTCATAAAATATTGACTATTAACTCTTAAATCTTTTCTTAGATAGACAGTAGCAGAGCCCTTCAAATACACTAAAAGTTCATAGGATGTACCCTAGATCTGACATTCTAAATAAGCAGATCCAAGAGTCTTGACACTGGAAAACTTAGAAGATAAAAAAACTAGACCAGATACCTATTTAGATTGGTTATAAACAATATATTGAACTAACTGTCAACTAATCATCTAAAATCCAGATATCCACTTGGAGTATTCAGGTAAAATCTAAATCAAATACCAATTGTGGCAAGTGAGCTTGAGAACTGTCGAATGAGGATAACTCGGTACTGGACGTATGGCTTAAACGATACTCAGCAAGACGACGTTCATTCCTCTCCTGACTAAGCTGGTATTGCAAGGAAACTGTTTCTTGTTCAAGCTTTGATACAGTGATTTCCAGAACAGCTATGCTATCCAAAAGATCTTGGGCCTACAATCCATGAAGAACCTAAGAAAAGAAAACAGATATACCACAGACAAGAATCCAAATAGAGAGAGATTGACCTTATCAGGAAGCTGGCAGGGGGAATTTGACAAGGTTGGATCTGAGTGTTCAACAGCACTTGCTAGAGCTAAATGCAAGTCAATCTCTTCTTGTAATTGTTGTCGCAATTTCTTAATCTGTAACATCCATGCGGTAGTAAATACTGAAGCTCATTTAATGGCACTCATCCAAATTTTTAAATCTAGCAGTTTAACACTTAACAAGCAAGAATATGATATCAACCTAGATACAGTTGCGTACAAAGGCTAGCATTTTTGATGCCCTGGTAGAATCAGTTCAACAGGAGAAATGAATTCACAACATCAAAATAATTATATTAAAAATGTTATGCTATCATTCTTTACTCCAGAGTAAACTAGATTAATTTGGTACTAAACTCCCAGTCACATTAGCAATTTAATACTTAATCACCACATTGTAACTATACTCCTACAAAACTTTTGTTCACTCATCTCTGTCTAATTCTCTAGGTACGTCCCGAGTAGTGTGATCCAAGACATCAGAAATATAAACCAAAAGACGTACTTGAAAACACTAAGAGACTGAAGAATTCCCCCCTATTAAAGCCTTCAGACTAATCTGTACTCACATATACATCTTTTCCTCTATTTCTAGAGATATTGTGCAAGCTGCTATGAAAAATGAAAACACACCCACATGCACACATAAAAGCACAAGCTACAGACAAATCTCAATACAAAGATCATCTATCAACTTGAAGGAAAAAAAAAAGAAAAAAAAAAAAAAGTAGAAAATAATGAATGGAAATGTATCCACTTACATCTTGCTCAAGCTGGTATTTGTAAAGACATTTTTCCCCTCTTGTTTTATTCGGCAGCTTAGACACCTGAACTCTTGGTTCGAAGCATCATTCAAAATTTATCTCATAAATTTACCAAAAAAAAAAAACAAATAAATAAATAAAAAAAAAAATTATAAACTTCTCAAACACGTTAATTTAATCAGTAATATTCCCAGCATTGCCAGTAGTAAAGGGTCCAAATAAATGGCTCAAATAATCAAGAACCAGCAACAATACCTCGAAATCGGACGGACAAAGGGACCCATCTCCAGCAGAAAAAGACCAACCCTTTTTCCACAAATATCTATGAATGGAACTTCCCCTGTAACCAAATTCAATGCACATTAACACAAAATGAGCCCAAAAATTAGTAAAAGAGATTGTTCAGAGTCTTCACTCACAAATTAATTGGAAGAACGAAACCACTGTTGTTGATAGTACTAGGAGAAGAAGGCTGATTGTGTTGGAGGCAGTCTTGTTCATCCAGAACTTCTGCTTTCAGACAAAGCATCTCGAGTTAAGTTGCGTTGAGTTTAGAATATTTGTTGTAGTAAAATTTTATATTAAGAGGGAATATTTGAAGGGAAGAGTGAGTGAAAGAAATAATAGGAGAAGTTGGTGGGGTTAGTGTTAGTGATGAGACTGGGGTCAATCGATTCATGGATTTTCTGAGTGAGTCAGTCGCTTTCGAGCGGGAGTCGCATTCACCGACAGAACCCACTTTCAGATTCAGTTTATTTATGTATTTTCTTACTTTTTAACTTTTTGGTATTTGTAAACAGTAATCCACCAGTGCCTTGTGCTTGCCATGATACAATTTCTTTTTGTTAAAAGGAGGACTTCAAGATTCATATCTGTATTGGGCATGGATTAAGAACCCTTTTCTCTTTTATACAAATTACGATATTTTTTATTTTTATTAGATTCATACTTTTAAAACGATTTAATTATATTTCATATTTATGATAAGGAAATTATATTAAATAATACTAAATAAAACCATGACGTAAGTTAATGCAATTTACTCAATATTAATTTTAAACAAGTAGACATTGTTAATTAATTTAATATTTATAAATTTAAATTTGTAATGCTTGATCAAACTATAGTCAACAGTAGTCAATGACGTTGACCATCATTGATTGACATTGACTGTTGTTGACCATCGTCTGATCGATGTTGACTAATGTTTCACCGCTATTTTGACTTTCATTGACTACTAATCAGTCCAGCTTTTGATTCTTTTTTTCAATTTTTAGTTAAATAATAATTCAAAAATATACTAATTTTTAATAAATAATATTATGCAATGTAATTCATAAACGAAAATACAACATACTATAAAAATAATACAATACAATGTTTCGCCAAACATTATATAACATTTAACATAACATTATATAATACAACGCAATATTATACTAAGCTATATAATATGTTTAATGCTATGTTATGTCGCGTGCTAAATATTCCATCGGTTCATTGTTGGGCCTAAGTTTTTATTGTTTCAAATTACTTTCAGTTTTTTGGATTTGTAAAATCGTATTGACATAATTTAACAACTATGCGCTGTAAAATTGAATAAAACAAAATTAAGTATGATAAAGTTAAAAGAATTTCTTTTGTTTTAATTAAGAAGAGTCAACAAGCTGGACCCGGCAGGACGATGGTGTTGACCCATAAAATTTTGAGGTTGGACCGAGCAAATCTAAACCTCTAGCTTTGAGCCATGCATTGGGAATAATGGTGACATCAATGTGACCCAAATTGAGTCGTGACTCACATGAGTTTAAAACTATTTCGGGCTTCAAAAAGTAAACAGTTTGTCCTTGGCATTTTCAACAAATAACAATTTCACCCGAACGAAGGGCAAATTAGACATTTACCCTTCTTTAAGGTGAAATCGTTACTTGTTGAACATGTCAAGGTAAGAATTGTCACTTTTTTAAACCTGTGGGGTAAATTATAATTTGTCCAAACCTGGAGTTCCAAAACCTTGACTAGATCTTTGGGGTCTAAACAAAAGAGTTGGTATGACTTTAAGGAGACTTGTTCTATTCCTTGAGTTTTCGGTTTTAAACTTTGAAACCATATATCATAATAATATTATGACTTATTTGATCATTTGAGTTTGCAAAGTGTTCAATAGACTTCGAAGATTAATTAAGATGTCCGTAAGTTAGCCCGAACACTCCGATTACCTAAAAAAAAAAAACTCTAATAGTGCTTCATGACCAAAACCCACCTAGGATTATTAATACATAACAATATCCAGTTTAAGTTTTTTTTTTTTTTTTTTTTTAAACTATATATTTGAGAATAATAAAGATACTTTAACCATGCAATTACTTTTTAATTTTATTTAAAGACAAAGAAAATATCCGAGTTGGAAAAGGTGCATTCCTTGTAAATGGGTTTTGGGTAAGCAAGAAATGATGTTCAACAAGTTCACTTCATTCCTTTCTTATATTATTCCCTCTCTCTCTAACACGTATCATATCAAATTAAGATAAGGCGTTAGTTGATCAAACGGGTTACCACTTAGAATCTAGTTCCTTGTTGAATCTTTAGTGCAACTTTCCTTTCTTTTCAATTCAATAAAGCACATTTTCTCTCACCTTTTGACGCCAAACTCATCCTATTAATTACCCCCGACAAACCTCTGCACTCTTCACAATATAACATAACATGGGAAAGGGCAACGGCTACATGTTATGTTTGTTTTTGGTATTCTTTTTAGGTGAAGGCCTATCAAAGGGCGTTCAAGGCCTGGCTTGCAACTGGGGATTGCAATCGACTCACCCGTTGCAGCCGAGCATAGTCGTGAAGCTCATGAAAGACAATGGATTCAATAAAGTGAAGCTGTTTGAAGCTGATCCCGGGGCTCTAAGGGCTCTGGCAAACTCTGGTATTCAAGTTATGGTTGGCATTCCCAATGAGCTATTGGCGCCTCTTGCTAGCAACGTCAATAATGCTATCAATTATGTTAAACAAAACATTTCCACTTATGTCTCCAAAGGTGTCGATATAAGGTGATGTTTTTGTCATACATTACTGGAACTATAACTTGATTTTCATTGTCTTTTCTTTTGCCCTGCATAGGAGTGCTAGTGACAGTCACGGATGCAATAGTTGTTAGCCTTCTCGCAACATGTGTCCAAAACATATATTTTATTTTGTTCAAAATAAATACTATGTTACGAGAAGAGTTAGCAATTGTCACTAGCACTCCTTTGTGAATAATTCATCTTTGACAAGATATCCAAATTTAGTAGAAGAAGAAGGTTAATCTTTTCGCATGGGAAAAGGTTAAACTATCTTTTAATTTCATTTCATCTAATGCATTTCTTGATTTGTATTTCAATATTCCAGATGGGTTTGGGGTGTTATCTTACTCTGCATTATGATCCTCTTTTAACCGTAGGGATTGGTTTAATTTTTAGGAGCGGTTAATTTTCAGCTAAACTTTATCACTTGATTGAAATTAAACTGAGTTGTAATGGTGTTTTAGGTATGTAGCTGTGGCGAATGAACCTTTCCTCAAGACCTACAAAGACACTTTTCTGCATACAACATTTCCAGCCCTGCAGAATATTCAAGCAGCCCTGATAAAAGCCGGCTTAGGCAAGCAAGTTAAGGTCACCATTCCGCTGAATGCAGATGTCTATGAGAGTGAAAGTGGCCTGCCTTCCAGTGGCGACTTTCGGCCTGACATCCATGGCCTCATGATGTCTATTATTAAGTTTCTAAGCGACAATCGCGGTGTCCTCACCATCAACATTTATCCCTTTCTCAGCCTCTATGCCGATCCCAATTTCCCCGTTGATTACGCCTTCTTCAATGGCAGCGCTGCCCCTGTTGTTGATGGTTCCATATCTTACACCAATGTGTTTGATGCCAATTTTGACACCCTCATTTCAGCTCTTGAAAAGAATGGTTTCGGATCAATGCCTGTCATGATTGGTGAAGTTGGTTGGCCTACTGATGGTGATCCTAATGCCAACATTGAGTATGCCCGTAGGTTCAATCAAGGACTACTCGACCGGATAATTCGAGGCCAGGGGACCCCAAAACGCAGCACCCCACCAGAAGTTTACTTGTTTTCTCTCATTGATGAGGATAACAAGAGCGTTCAGCCTGGAAATTTTGAGAGGCACTGGGGAGTTTTTTATTATGATGGAGCCATTAAGTACCAATTGAATATGGGGAATGGAAGAGGTCTAATTCCAGCAAAAGGTGTGAAATATTTGGCGAGGCAGTGGTGTGTAATGTCACCTGGAGCAAGCACTTCAGACCCCAATTTCCAAAATAGCATTAACTATGCCTGCACTTATGCAGATTGCACAAGTCTTGGATACGGATCATCTTGTGGAAATCTGGATGCCAAGAGCAATGCTTCTTATGCGTTTAACATGTACTACCAGACCATGAATCAAAGAAAAGATTCATGTTCATTCTCTAATTTATCAACTATCACCACCGTCAATCCTTCGCGAGGCACTTGCCGATATGAGATCATGATTGATCTGGGAAAACATGAGCGGCCTTCTAATCATGCACCTTCAGCAGCTGGAAGGAAGCAACACTACCCGCTGATTATGGCTCTCGTATTAGTTTTGACATTGATTGTTTGAGGTGTTTCCTGAGTTGATTACTCAACTGATTATTTAACTGGATTCATCAAAATAAAATTTTCATGGTTTATTCAATTGTAAACTGTATATAGTCTCTGTAAAAGAGTTGAATATATTTCAGATTTAGTAAAAGTTGATGGTTTTTAATTGGCTGATTTTCCTTTTTTCTTGGTGTTAATTTCAATTCATTTCATTCTTCAAGGAAGCATTAATTACAACTCTAGCTGCTTGTGTGGCTTACTAAATAAACTTGAAAACAAGAGAAGATCCGAAGAAGAAAGTGAAATAAAATATATACAGATACAACATCAATATTACTACATGCATTTGGTTGTTGAACTTAACTTCTGCTATTAGAGAAGTCCTTTGGTTACTATCTGGTTAACAGCTGAAATTAAATTAAGTTATAAAAATAATAATAACAATTATTAGTAATAGTAGTACTAATGCAATATTAAAATTTATTTAAGAAGGAAAAAGAAATTCATAAGAATAGTGGGAGTAAAACCCAAAGGGTTATCCTGACAGTCACGAATGTTTGCTCTATTATTTGAGTTTTTGATTTCAAACTTTGGGACTATCTACTACAATAACATTGTAGCTTACCTGGTCTTTTGGACTTGTAGAATATTCAATAAACTTTACTTTATTGAATTCTTGAGTTCAAACCTTGGGGTTACTTATCAAAAAAAGGGTTACATAAAAAACATGGATTGAGACGACCTCTACAATAATATACAAACAAATTTTATATGTATTCAATGAACTTTAACGATTAATTAAGGTGCGCCCGAAAAAAAAAAAAAAAAAGGGTTCACATCCAAAACATGGATATATTGGGACGCCTCAACAATAAAGTACAAACTAATTTTGCACGTTTTAAGGGATATTTATCATTTTCATGAGACAACCGACAATCAACCACATAATACCTCTAAATTTTCATTACAATTTTAATCAGACTACTTTTTTTTTTTTTTTTTCTTTTGTATCAAAATTTTAGGTATAATAAAATGAGGAAATTTAACTCCCCAAACATCCCAAGTTTGGATTTTAAAAGATAACTCTAAAAATCGGAGGCTTTTTTTTTTTTTTTTTAAATTTAAAAATCTGACATGGCACACTTAATTGTAACTAAACATGCAAAAACAAAAGGGTTAGAGTGAAAGGATTGAAACGTATATGGGTAATAGTATAATTAATGGAAATTTGTTTAAATTTTAAAAATTAAAAAACGACCCCCTCCCTTCAAAATCGCTTAATCGAGCAGTATACCCAAAAAAGGACCAACGAAACACCTTCCATTTCTCTACGATTTCTGGTGATAAAAGTTTCCTATTTCCGACCAATATTCGATCTTAAAGCTTTGTTACATAAAATCATGGCTGATATTCACAAAGAGGAGGAAAACCCAACCCCACTCCAAATCCTAGACTTCAGCGGCGACGGCTGTTCAAAGGTTGTCAAAGAAGACGTTCTGGTGGATCATCTGATGAGTGAAGGTGGTCTAGTGGCAGAGGAGACAATGGTGGCACAAGAACATAGAGGAGAATAGAAAAATGGTTCTGAAGAGGAGCATACTGGCGAGAATTCAGGCTAGAAGGAGGACGCTGGTGAACAAAATGTACGTTTTTTATTGGAGGTTTTGAATTTGATGAAAAAATTGATTGGTTTGTGTGAATTTGGGGGATATGTAGTTGGTTTTGATTATTATGGTGGTTATGGCGTTTTGTCGAGCAGTTGGTGGGCATTAGGGGAGTGGCTTTGTTTGGGTTCCAGAGGATGGGGGAAGGCAAGGGAGACTGTAGGGAGGTTGTTTGTGGGAGGTTGGAAAGCTGGGGATGGTAGAAGGTGGTGGTAGAATAGGGAGGCTGAAGGGTTGCCCTACATATTGTAAGGCTGGCCACGGGTAGTGTACGCGTGCAGTATTGCAGGGCAGCCCCCAGCCCCCCTATTCCACCCCCTCATGCCATCTTCAACCATCTCCAATCATGGAACCTACCACAACAACCTCTGTAGGACCTGCATTGACTTCCCCGGTCCTCTCGAAGCCAAAAACACCTACTCCCTAATGCCCTCGAAGCTCATATCCCCCAAATTGGTAGCTTATTGGTTGTTTTGGTTTCTTTTTTTTGCTCATATTTAGTTTATATTGATTGTGCAGATTTTCCGAAACGTAAATTATAAAGATTATGGGTTGGAGGTTGTAAGCGATAAGATACTGTACTTCCCTGTAAGAGTGACAGTTAGGTTGAGTTGACAAGATGAGAATAAAGGAGATTTTAGAGGAACAAAAGAAGGGTATGGAACAATTCAAAGATAGTTGTTTTGGTCATTTTGCGGACATAGGAGAAAATTGGAAGAAGGCATTTTGGGGGCAGAGCATTATATGTTGTTGCAATCAGTTAAAAGCCAAAAAAAAAAAAAAAAAAAAAAAAAAAAAGAAATGTGGTTTGTGGTGGATGGGAAGCCATTATGTTTTGGGGTGATGGAATTTGCCCTGATGACAGGCTTAAGATGTGGGGCATTTCCAAATGCGGAAGAGCAAAAGAGAATATAGAGGACGTCTATCACAGGACGTTATTTAGAGGAGAGGTTAGGAGAAGATGTATATACCTCTTCGGAGAAGTTTAAGATGTGTCTAGTATGGTTCATGCATTCGATCCTAATGGCTTTTGACTCAACAAAAGCTGTTAATATGGATTGGGTGAAGTTTGCAAGCAACATGGACTTCTTTAAGGCTTATCCATGGGGATAGTTATTATTTCAACTAACCATTGAGTCCTTGCGCGGAAAAGGCATGGTAATAAAGCATCGCCAAGCTGTCGAGAAGGATAGACCAAACACGTACAATTTGTTTGGCTTCCCATGGGCAATGTAGGTAAATATTAATAGCTTTTTGTTATATTTTTTGTATTATATGTGTTTTAATTATAATATGGACTGTTTTTTTTTACAATGTAGACTTGGATGTATAAGGCCGTCCTTGTCCTGGCTAAGCCGGGGGATGGAGAGTGGGGCAGAAGACTTCGGATAAGCGACCGTAATTTCCTAGGATATTGTGGTGGCACACCGAGAAGTGCGCCCATTGAGATTACGACAAAATAGAAATGGAAATTCAAGCGGCTCGAGTAAGATTAAAGTATTAATCTTTTGAATATGCACTTGCTTTTAAATGTAGCTTAAATTTGATTGATTTTTTTTCTTATTACAGGGAGTCGTCTGTCCCTTCCTCACCCCTACTAAGGGTGAAGTGGGAGAGGAGTATGTTACATCGTTCACAACACTAGACGATATAGTAGATGAGGGGATAGACTGCCTAATGCGAGACCTAGAAAGGGTCAAGCATGTGAGTGCAGCTACAGGGCCACTGTTTGAGAATGTGTTTGAGGCCGAGGAGGATGAAGCTCCTATCAACGGGACAGAGGTTGAGGAGGAGGATGAAGAGGTTAGTACACCTCTACCCAATTGGCAAACCGGTATAACAAGTATCGATTTTCTAAGGTGTCAAGGTCGGGAGAATGAGGTGGTTGACCTCATAAACAGTGTGGCAAAGAAAGTTGGTAGGATGGAGGAGGAAGTTGGTGGGGTATTGAAAGTGGTTGAAGTGCAACTTGAGCATAAAAGAGAGAGCCGAAAGAGTAAGTACATAAAATCTCCTTACACGGTAGTAATGTATGGAAATAAGAGGAAAACGAAGAAAAAAATGAGGAAGTCCGTGAAAGTGGAGAAGCAAAAAATGGAGGAGGGTAACAAGGAAGGTAGAGGAAGTGGGGAAGTGAAAATGGAGGGGGGCGAGGAGGAAGGCGAAGGAAGTGGGCAAGTGAAAACGGAGGAGTTAAAGGTCGATTTGTATAGGCCAATAGATGAAGAAAAGAAAAAATTCTTCTATGCCTATTACAATGATTCTGGAAGTGATGGGCGTGTGAAGGGAAAGACCGGGGATTATCCTTGGGAGTGGTTTGAAAAGATGTTGACAATGGGTAAGTGACTCGACGACTCGGTGAGTTGTTTTCTCATATTTTTCCTTATTTTTGCTTATGTTTTCCATGAGGTATTATATATTGAATTGTTTAAGCGATTTTTTTTTAATTTTTTGAGGGGGTCACTTAAGTGATCTCTTAAAACAAAACAGATCACCTAAGGAAAAATTGTTGATGAGGTATTTGAATAGACACTTATCATGTTATTTTTATTTGATGCAGCACATTGATGAGGTATTGACACTTATGAGGTTGCGACTGAGTAGTAATGGTGATATTTTGTATCCGCATTGTGCCATCACCAATGTGACCTTTGGCCAAAGCCTAGTAACTACATAACACGTTAATGAAAAAGGCCAATGGTGGAGGTGCAACAAGGGAGGCAAGCAAAAAAGAATGGCCACAGAGGACTTCAATGATGTCCTTGATGATTTTCGATTTGATGAGAGGATGATGCAGTATGTATGGGGGGAAAGACCCAAATATGACAATAATTAGACAAATGTTAAAAGAGTATATTACATCGTGAACATCAAGGATATACATTGGATAACCGTTGTTTGGCTACTAGAGGAGGGCTTGTTGCAGATCCTTGATTGCAACCTGAGTATTTGTTGAGAGAGGCAGTTGGAGACGGAGTTGCAACTGCTGTGTACATTGTTCCCGCGATTGTTGCACGACAGCAGGATGTTTCAGCACTTGAGTGATGAACTACTGACTGACTCGAGGTAAATTTTGTATAAAACCTACATAATACAATTGTTCTATAAGTTGATTATAATGCTAATGTCTTCCTCCTATTGTAGTGTTGATTGTGGGGCATATGCACTAAAATTTATTGAGTTCGACATGACCAACACCCCAATGCACAGGTTGAATGACAATACAATAAGCAACTTTCGAGAGCGTTTGGCTGTTGAGTGCTTCCATGGGCATATGGATCCCTTTTGACTGACCAGAACCCAATCCTAGTTATTGTTGATGCTGTCATCAAAAGGTATGGAAGTTGGACTTAGAGTTTTATAGTTTATGTGAAATGCATTTCTTATTGGGTTGTCTTGAATAATTGGATTGTCTTGAATTAGATCAGCTAGTGTTGTTAGACGTTAGGATGTTGATACTTAGGTTATGATGTTATGTATGC